TGCTGTTCCAAAAGAGGTTTAATGCCTCGAAGGGCTTGAGTTTCGGTGAAATAGTAATATTTTTGAAAAGAATTATAGGTCCCTTTCTTAATCCCTTTCAGTTGTTTTTGGATAAGGGCTAATTTTTGGTAAATGTTATTTTGACTCATGGTAAAAATAATGGGGTTCTAATCCGGGAATATTGAAGATTAATATTTCGCTATGAAAAACGACATTAGGAAAAATGTTTTTCGGTAAACGAATAATGGAGGAAATACGAGGATAATCACCATTCACAAATTTCTTATGTCGGAGGCTTTTCGTGGTTAGGTTTAAACACAAGCCAGGGGGAGTAAAAAGAACAATGGGCACATCTTTGCCAAACAGTTCAATAATTTTGTCTAATCAAACTTCACTGGCTAATTTTCCCTTGTAGCCGTTAAAAGGAGGATTACAAAGAATTAAGGCAGGTTCAAATCTTCACTTATCTTCACAGTGTCCTTTTTCCAACTCAAAGAAATCGCAAAATATGTTGGGCCATGGTTTCGGAATTTCTTTATCAATGTCAATGCCAAAAGTTTCAAAAATAGAACTTTGCCAAGGTCTCAACAAATTCCCTATGCCGCAACAAGGGTCTAAAACAACTCCTTCGGGGATTTTATCTTTAAGCAAATCAAAAATAAACACACTTACTTCTAACGGGGTCTGGATGTTGTTATCTTTGGGCTTTTGGTGATAATTGTTTCTGTCTATTCTATACATGGCTTATTAATTCGTCTCTCTCTCTCTCTCTCTCTTGCCGATACTCTTGTAATTCCTCAAAAGTCAAATCACAGCCCAGAAACTCCCGACCAGTCAATTGGCAAGCCTCCAAAACAATAAAGGAGCCAGCACAAGGGTCGACAACTAAATCTCCTTCTTGGGTGGTGGCTTCAATTAAGGTGCGAATAAGGAAAAAGGGCTTTTGATGAGGGTGCTGTTTTTTAGTGTCGGAAGGCTTTTTTTCCGTCCAAATACTAGGGAAAGTTCGATTAGCAAATTTCCGACTGCTTTGGGGATTTTTTTGGCAAAGAAAAGCAAACTCACCCACACTCCGAAAATAAGAACCCATGCCTAGTCATTCGGGCTTATTTCAGACTAACAAATCCACTATTTTCATCTTGGGGGCTCGGAGCAATCAGACCGAAACTCGGTCATTTTTTAAAATGCCTTTGTTAACTCACAACAAGCAAAATCCCGAGGGCTTTAATATTCGGCTGATTTCCTTAATAATGTGGGTGATTTGGTTTTCGGTTTGATATTGTAAGGGATAATCGACATCCAAAACATCTCCCGCTTTTTCATATTGAGGGTCAAAAAACACCAAACTAACACTTTTATCCTCCAAAGTGGCTAATAATTCGGTGGCTTCTCCTCCTTGTTTAGTGTTTCGTAAATATTTGGTTGTTGGTTTAATTAATTCGTTCATATTCTCTTCGCTTATTCTTTTCCCGGAGTTGCTT